ATATCGCGGATTATACATATCATAATCACTGCACTTTGTCAACTATGTGTTGTTCAGCAAAAATTCGAAAAAAAAACTGTCAGATTCTTCGTAATGCGCATGCGCCTCGTCTCGAGGCGCAAACCTCGAGACGTCCTTCACGTGGAAACTAGCGACGGGATTGGATCCGCGTTTAAATAAATGAGCATGACAAATGGTAAGGAATCGTCTGGAGAAAGTCTCATCCCGATATCTCATGCCGTTCCCGAGATATTAAATAGCCACTTTTGGCGACGAACTGCATTCTTCATCCCAGGCATAGCAACGCGCGCGCCATCGACACCGCTTGCGGCGGAAACGTGTGAGGGCCTCTCTCGCTCCCAGGCACGAACGCAAAACGTTTACAGTGCGTTTATGTTACGTGATTTTTAAACGATATAGATTCATATAAAAATGAATCATATTTTCGCTTTAAATTTTCAGTATCGCATCTGAGTTCGTTTTAATGCTGCATTCTTTCGCACCTTCCGCACTTAATATAAAAAGGGTCGGAATATGGAGGTTAGGAAGAAAGAAACATGTGGTGAGTGCAAAACAAAAATTGGGTTTTTTTATCAGATTGCGATCCGACAACAGCTGTGCGCTATAAAAGCAACTTATTAGAGATGTAACTAAATGAATTAGGATTAGTTATTATTGTGGCTCTTGCACAACGCATGTCGCGTCTCTCACAGTAAAAAGCGATATAGCAGCCTAATCCATATCTTTCGTTATGTATTTATTACTTCCGAAAAGATTTCGGAAGAGATTCGGAAAAGATTTCGAAGATTCTAGTGCAGGGAAAAGTCTTATATCAAAGAAGCAAGTATATCGTGATATATATGACACACATTTTACATTTGTTAATTTGTAAAATTAACAAATAATTTTTGATCGGCAAGACATTATTGTAAAAGAGCCATTAGCCAAGTCGCTCATGTTTACGATTGTATCATAACTACAATAATTTTCCACTTGTTATTGCCTTACTGAAAAAATGCCGCTCGTGTTAATGACGGTAAATTGATTAATTTAAATGTATTTGGAATAACTTAAAAATTTATGTTATATAATACACAATCGCATCAAGTTACTGCTGTTGTTATCGTACAAACTGCTTTATTTCTTTAGTTTCTTCCTAATGATCTTGACATGTAAAAATGTTTTAGTCGTAACCATAAGGCTATAAGTAAATCGACTAATCATAGTCAACCATTCGCATAAGGTAGTAAAAATATTTGACTGTGATGGATCGATTTGCTTACGGCCTTACAGTTATGATTAAAACTTTTTCACGTGTCGTGGCTTTAAAAGAGAAAGAAAGAGAAAGAGAGAGAGAGAAAGAGATTCCTTTATGGTTATTTTAAATACAATGCATCGATTAACTGTAGATCGAATATTTGAAAAACATGCTTAAGAATATGAATTTGTCAAGTAACACGCAAATTTTGCGCTTGTCAAGTTAATATAAACAATTACGAGCCGATTTAATTCTTGCATTGCGGTGAATTAAGAGAGTTAAATAAATTAACACGCTATAAAAACGATATTTCTAAAATACCGTCACAAATTATCAGCATATTTCATATCTCGAGTCCGAGAAAAAAAAAGTCTGGATATAGAGTCGTAAATTTTTTGTTTCTAAAATTTAAGATTATAGCCGATTTCATTTTCAGAGTATTTAGGTATATAGAAAAGTATCTTGTATCAGATAAGAATATGCACAAGATGAGAATCCGCAATAATACCGAAGTGAATTAAATTTCCGTTAGTAAATTTGGATAGGAATCCTTGGATTTGCATTTTTGGACACATGCATTGTTAGATCTGTGTTTTTCACAAATAAGTAGACAAGACTTTTACGAATTTCTAGGAACTTTTATCGAAACTCTTTGTGTTTTCTAATTTTAGAAACTTCCATTCATTCGAAAAAATAATACAGATCTGGTTGATGGTACCGGTACGGACGGTACCGCCGCATTTATTTTGCGACCTTAAAATATCTTCACGGTTTTCGTGAAGGATTAATAGATTCTGTAGGCCATTTCTCGAACTTCGAACGACGATGTCGTTATTGTTATCTATCGTACGGACGGTACCGCCGCATTTATTTTGCGACCTTAAAATATCTTCACGGTTTTCGTGAAGGATTAATAGATTCTGTAGACCATTTCTCTCGAACTTCGAACGACGATGTTGTTATTGTTATCTATCATTGCACACAAAATTGACAAAATACGCGCGCAATGATACGTGACGACATCGATATCGTTGATCGTTAAAAGTTAGAAAATCGGCCTATTGTTGTATGAATATTGCATGGCCACTTTGATCATCTGATTTAAATTTCTCCGATCTTCTGTAGAATTTTTTTGAAATCAATATATTCCAGATTAGCTAAAAATGCTGAAGAATCACAAGTACATAATCAATATACATGCAATGTAATTAACGTATAAGATTAATGCCTGTGTGCTTAGCGATGGAGATTATTTTGAACACTTCTTACAATTTCTTATGTAATTATAAGTTACATTCATATTGAGTCGACAATGGCTTGATAATACCTAAACGACAAATTTCCAAAGACCCATGTTTATCGGGGCTTAGATTCAAAGTGTAGAATATTGTGTGAATTTTCAGGAACAATACAGAATATTTCAACTATGACTATTTTGCAATAGCCAAACAACATTTCTACTATAAATATATGATTATTATATATGTATATATATACTTTTTGTATTTCTATTAAAAAATAATATAATTTACAAGATACTTGTATATTTTATACACAATATGTTTCTAGGAAATAGCAAAATCAAAGAGGTTTAATTGTAATTGATGATTCATAATTCATACAAAAGAATCAAAATTAAGTTCCGATATATCGCAATCATAATCTGATATATTTTAAATGAGAGACTGCGCTATCCGTATAAAACTTCATCTACTCTTTATCCCTCTATAATTGCACCACATGCAACATCGCGACAGATACAAGAGATGAAGGAAAAAACACGAGGCTGCTTCCTATTAAGAGACCACGATTGATACCGCGACTAGTACGACGACGGCGGCAGCGGGTGTCAACCGTCGAGAAAGAACAAAGAGGACCGGCCCGGTCAGGATGAAGGAAGGGAAAGGGGACGATCGCGCGTACCCACGATACGCGCCATCTATGCGAGCTACTACTCCGAGAGTGTATCCTAGAGTTGCGCAATTCGATGCCGCCGTGTGACGGTCCGAAATTGCCTATAACGCGCGTTTCTCGCGCGCGCGTGCCCGCATTTTCCAACTTACGCATCGCTGATGGGGTTGCGCAGCATTTCGTGCACGGCGATTGATTGCGCTCCGAAGGGAGGCGAGCCTCCGGTACTGGGACGGAGGGGGAGAAAGAGCGGACGAAGGGGAGAAACAGAAGGCAAGAGAGAATCGCACGGACTTCTGAAAGAGGGTACGGAGTCGCGCTTGTGAAGCTCGCGCGAGGATGAGGGAGCGACGGAAAGATGACACGCGAATATAGAGGGGGGAAGAGGACAGCGCGAGAGGCCACAAAGTATGAACACAAAGAGAACGAGAAAAGAAAAGAGAAGAAGGGAGAGAAAGAGAAAGAGAGATGACAATGAGTAGAGCGAGCGCGAGGGAAGAGAATCACGCGCGCGGTAATGGTTATAGGAAGAAGCGGCATCGCCGCACAGCTACTTGGCTCTCCAGGGCCAGGATATTTCAATACCGACGGTGGTCGGCGGCCACCGACGTGGGGCCGCGCACGGGGAAGGAGGACGCGGCCATGTGTGCGTATATGAGCGCGCGCGCGCGCACGCGCTCTTACATAGACGCACGCTTACACATAAACGCGGACTCTGTATATACAACGTCCCCGCACGCCGCCCGCCCGCGTCCCTCGTCTATGTGCCCGCCCTTCGCATCGTACGGCTTTACACGGTCGTTCGGCGACGAGAAGAGAGAGCCACGGTAGCGCGCTCCGCTATTCGGGTTTTCTGCGCTAGGGTGAAGAGAGCGCGAAGGGAGGGGAACACATTTTCTCTCTCTCTTTCTCTCTCTTTCGGTACAAAGAGAAGAGGGGGAGATTCTCTCGCCGAGAGAAAGAGAGAGAAACACGAAGACTTTACACAGAGCGCGAGGATTCGGGGGAGAGTGGGGAGGAGAGTTGGAGAGCCCGAGCGTGGCCGATGGGTTCGCCGGTAATGCCCGCCTTCTCGACGCGTCAAGGGGAACGCGACGTGGGCTGTGCCAGGCGCCGATTGGACATCCCGACGAACGTGGTTCGAGACCAACGCTGGCGCCCCAAGGGCTCCACCAATCGGGCGTCCTCATCGCAAGTTTTTTATCCCGCTATTTGCACCGAGGACGGAGAAGACGGTTCCCCCCGTCGTCGCTTCGCAGCTTCTCGCTCGCACTCGCACGCTAACACCCTCTCCGTCCTCCTCGCGCGCGCTCTCCCTGTGCGCTCGTCGGCGCAGGAGAGAACACTCTCGTTTTGGGATCCGTTGAGGTAGCACGCGTTTTCACGAGACAGGGAGAGAAGTGTTCGTACTAGTGAGTGTGCTCTCTCGTGTGTATATGTGTGTCCGGTGTACGCGCTTCCCCGTCTTTTTCCCGGCGTATCCGCGACTACACTTGCTTTCGCTCGTTTTTAAGAGTAGTGTACAGCTCCACTGTCGCAGGTAGGATGTAGCGCCCACTATATATATATGTATGTATGTGTGTGTGTGTGTGTGTGTATTGTACACACATATATATATGTATATACGAACCGCTGCTGCGCGCTTGGTATATGTGCGTGTGTATGCGATTCGAGTACAGTGTGTGACAGAACGTCGCAGGAGGATGCAACGTTGCCGGATGTCGTAGGCGCGAATACGCGTACGACTGGTACGGCGCGGTGAGGCCGCCCGAAGAGAGGAGTGGACGCGCGCGCGTTGCGCTCCGGTAGAAAGAGAGAGCGAGCGTCATCGTTGTCGTCGTCGTCGTCGATCGATTTCGACTCGCGGAGTCGGAGGTCGGAAAATCGCGTCCGAAACTGCTGGCGTCGCTGTCGCCGCCGCGTACGGATTCGCGAGCATCGTCGCGGTGGTACACCAGTGACATTTGCGGTGCGGTGCTATCGACGAAACAGATTTGGCAACGTCGCATCATCGACTGCCTTCGTACACAAACGCATGCATACACGTACCTAGAAGGGAAGTTGGGGTGGCTGGCTGGTTGGCTGGCTGGCTGGCTGGCAGGCAGGCAGGCAGGCGGCAGGCTAACGGGCAAGCAAACAGGGCAGGCAGGCAAACAAGCAGGCCAGGCAGACGGCTTTCTTGTTCCGAGGACGGCGCTCCTAGTCGCGCCGTCTCTCTTTTCTACCTCCATTGCGCTTACTCTTCCTCTCCCCCTTGTCTCCCCTTGTATCCTCGTCTTCGGTCAATTCAATCGCGCTCTCCCGTTCTCTCCCTCCCTCCCTCTCTCTCTCTCTCTCTCTTTCTCTTTCATGCGGCTCACGCCGCACGTACCGTTGAGAGCCTCTCCCTTCCCCTGCTGCGCTCTTTCTCTGCCTCTCTACCCCCTCTCCTTCCCCTAACCTCGAGCGGCTTGGGCGAATCCACTAGGCTTGCGAGGGGAGTTCGGCAGACCTCGGCTCTAGTCGGCCTCGATCCGTAGAGTGCGTTAGACGCCGCGAGTCGATCGCTCCGGTTTACGAATATTCGCCATCCGGGGTCACCGTGCGTGCGTCGCAGGGCCCGCGAGCGTTGTCGCGCTTTACCTGCGCATAACCGCGACCCGCGACAGTCCGTATTGCGGCAGTTTTACGCCTTGAATTTGGGACGCACTCGACCAGCGTATATCCGTACGACGGCCATGTTTGGTGTTTACGACGTGAGGGGGAATCGCTGACGTCACGCGGCGAGCGGGCCGATCTCGCCCGAACCCGAACGGCGCGGCGACTACGGACGACAGCAGCGACGGCAGCAGGCAACAGCACCAACAACCACGGAAAACGTGTGTGTGTGTGTGTGTGCCGTGCCGTGCCGTCATCACGCCGGTAGTTATCGAAACACGCGCGTTCGCTTACGACGAATGAAAAACCGACTGCGCGATTGAGAAAAGACGCCTTGCGCGTCGGCAACGCGTTTGCGAACGCCATCCGTTGGATTCTTTTCTCGCTTTCGCTCTCTCTCTCTCTCTCTCTCTCTCTCTTTCTCTCTCTTGACACGGAACGCGTCCGACTTCACTCACCGTGCTCGATGCGGCTACTGGCCTTTCGAAAAACATCCGCGCCTCGCCGTTACCTCCTTCGTCCCTTCTTCGTCTCTATCTCCCCTTCTGTCGCTGAAATAGCATATCTCTTCTGAAAATTTGCCTCTTCGAAACTGATGATCGCGAACATTGGGCGATACTACTACGTTCTCGCGTAGACAACACGGACGCGTCGCAATCGCACACGAATCTGACAACGACGATGCGCGACGCGAGGATGACACGATCGCCGACTCGAGATATGACCCTAGATACGATCGTACCACGTGGTTAATCGCGCACGTGTTTCGCGTCTCCACTCGCGGCGCATGCCGGTATCTGTATCTTGTGTTCGAAAGATACGATCGGTCGGAGCAGACCGATCATTTCGCGATATATACTGTGATCTCTCTCTCTCTCTCTCTCTCTCTCTCTTTCTCGACTTCCGGGGAATGTGTGTGTGTGCGTGATCGATCTCCAGTGCCAGTGTGTACCGCTACATATGGTGTTTCGTAGGATATCACGCGCGACACGACGTATCCATAGACTGATCAGAGGACATCTTCACGCTCGTGCGGAATATCGAGATTAAAAGATTCACACGACAGCCATGGAACTGGGCGATAGAGTTTACGCCGCGGAACGCATCACGAAGAAGAGGGACAAGCGGGTTAGTATTCGCAGGTTTCGCGCTGTCGCTCCCAGATGGCGCCATCAGGCGGAATCTGTCTGCGCGGCTCTGTTACCACCTCTATCCTCCCTCCATATATCTTCTTATATATATATATA